ATTTCCAGGGCGAGAGCAATTTATGTTATTGAATTAGATAAAATGTTTAAAACCAGCTCTTCCTAGAAATTTTAATACCAAATTTGGATCTACTTGATTAAAAATGTGATCTAGAGATGTGGAAGAATAAAATTGTTTTCTGATGGGGGTTAAAAAAGGACAGTCAGCTAGAATATGTTTTATAGATAGAGGAACTTTACATGAGTGGCATTCAGCTCGACTATCTCCAGTTACTAAAAACTGGTGTGTGAGCCTAGAGTGTCCAATTCTGCATCTTGTATAAATGACCTGTTCCCATCGATTGTTGAATTGTGTTTGTTTCTTTCCAATGTTAGGATTTATTTCATATAGTTTATTTTTGATGCACTGGTTCCATTCAGTCTGCCATCTTTTTCCAATGTAAGAAGTGAGAAATGGTTTTATATCTGATGCTGGTATCTGGCATGGGTTTAGTTCTTGTTTTGTAGAGGCTTTGGCGATGCGGTCCGCTCGTTCATTTCCTGGAATTCCAATGTGTCCGGGTATCCAGTAGAAGAGTATGTCAAAAGATTTTCTTCTCAGATATGCCAGTTTAATTAGTATTTCTGTTAGTATTTTTCTCATTGTTTTCCAGTGCCTCGAGGCATGATTTGGAGTCAGAAATGATGAGGTATTCTTTCCGGGTTCTGGTTTGGATGAACTGTAGTGCCATCAGTAAAGCCGTTGCTTCTGCTGTGAAAACTGAGCTGTGGTCTGAGATACGGACTCCTTGTTCATGCCCTTTTGTTGTGAAGGCTGCAGCCACTTTGTTTCAGATTTTGATCCATCTGTGTATACTGTGATGTGGTTTGGGAAATTGTCCCTGAAGTCCAGTAGTCGTTGGTGGTAGATATTTGGGTGTGTTTTCGATTTTTGTTCGTTTCCTAGGTTGAAGTGAATATTGGGTTTTTGTTGGTCCCACGGTGGAATTTTGCACAAGTGCGTTTGTACCAGTGATTCGTAGTCAATTTTGAGGTTTTCAAGATGTGATTTCATACGCAATCCAAGAGGACGGATTTGCTTTGGTTTCTTGTTATAAAAAGTTAAAAGTTGATTTTTAAAAACTGGGGTAAAGGCTGGGTTCCATAATTGTATTTTAATTGCAGAGCTAGTTTCAGTCGTCTGTTTTCCAGTGATGGCTCATTTGACTCTACATATAAGCTTGGGATTGGTGATGTTCTGTAGGCGCCTAGTGCCAGACGAATGCCTTGGTGGTGTATGCTGTCGAGGGCTTGGATGTAAGATTTCCTAGCTGAGCCATAGATGATACTCCCGTAGTCGATCCTAGATCTGATCAGAGTTTGATATATGTTCATCAGGGTCGAACTATCTGCGCCCCATTTAGTTTTGGATAAAACCTTTAAAATATTCATGGTTTTAAAACATTTTTCTTTTAATGCTTTGATGTGTGGGATAAAAGAGAGTTTGTTATCAAAGATAACTCCAAGAAACTTGGTTTCTTTGGATAGTTTAATTAGGGTTCCATCCATAAATAGTTCTGGTTCATTGTGTAACGACCGTAGTTGGCAGAAATGAGTGCAGATTGTTTTTGCTTGTGGAAACTTAAAACCATTTTGCATTGCCCAGTTCTGTATTTTATTTATCTTCTGTTGAATCTTCCTTTCAATGGTTGCCATGTTCTTGCTTTTATAGCATATGCAGCTATCGTCTACATACAAGCTGTAGAGTACGTCGGTACCAATGATATTGGCAATATTGTTTATTTTAATATTAAAAAGGGTCACAGATAGGATTCTTCCTTGGGGTACTCCAAGTTCTTGTTCATATCGATCTGATAATGTATTTGTGACTTTGACTCTAAAAAATCATCTGGACCAACGGCTGAGTCGTGAGATTTCTTCATAGCTTTTTGTAGTGCGTCCAATGTGAAAGGCTGATTATATGGTTCTTCATTATTTGAGTTAAAGTTAATTTGTCCTTTATGTCCATCGTGTAGGGCTCTGAACGCAGCACTGCGATTTTCAACTGAAGAATTACTTTCAAGTGTTTTTGCTATTTCGTTTGCTATTTCTTGCGCTGATGTCAAGATATCATCCTTTCGCTTAATGTGTTGTATTTGTGGACTGGTATTTTTTCCTTTCATTTTCCGGATCAGCTTCCACACTTTAGTTGGTGAAGTATTTGTTGACAAATTGGAAACAAATCTTCTCCAGCTTTCTTTTTTACTTTCATTTATTGTTCTTCTTGCTTGTGCCCTTTCCTTTTTGAGTTTAATAAGATTTTCGGTAGTTGGATGATTAGAGAAACATCTTTCGGCTTTTTTCCTCTTTTTAATAGCCTTCTTGCAATCTTCGTTAAACCATGGAGTTCGTTTAGTGGAGTTTTTCCAGAACGTTTTTGGGATGGATTCTTCAGCTATAGAAATGAGGGTTTTTGTGAAGTTTTCCATAGCATTTGGATCATCTTCAAGGAAACCTGCAAATTTCTCATCACATAGAGCTTTAAAATAAATCCAGTTTGCTTTTTAATTTGCCACCTTTGCACTTTAAAATCTTCTTCTTGTCCTTTAATTGTTATAACTAATGGGAAATGGTCACTTCCACATAAATCAGGGTGGACTTTCCAGGATAAGTCTAAAAGGAGTTCGGGCTGACAGATGGTTAGATCGATTGCAGAGTAGGTTCCATGTCCTGGGTGCGGATAAGTGTTTGAACCATCATTTAAAAGACATAAATTGTTATTCTCAATAAAATCTTCTATTTTCCTTCCTTTAGCGTTGCACTGGTTGCTACCCCACAAATAGTTATGACTGTTAAAATCTCCCATTAAAAAGAAAGGGGGAGGAAGTTGGGTAATAAGCTGGTATAGCTCTGTGTGTTTTATATTTGCATCTGGAGGGATGTAGAGAGAACAAATTGTGATGGTTTTCCTGAGTGTCAATCTTACTGCAGTTACTTGTAGATTACTAGTGAGTTTGATATTGCTGTGAATTAAATCACTGCGTATTAGAATGGATGTTCCTCCAGAAGCACGCTTGTTACTGGGACCAAGGGTGTTCAAAATATTAAAATGTTTGAAAGAAATAGTGTTGTCTTTTAACAGTTGTGTCTCCTGAAGACATACAACAATGGGGTTGATGACAGTAATTAAGCGTTGTAGCTCTGTATAATTAGCCCGAACTCCACGACAGTTCCACTGAATAATCCGTTTTTCCATCACTTGTTTGGAAGGATGGGGACGTTTGTCTTCATTCTACCTTCGACTAGGGCATTCTTTTTCTTTCATTTCTATATCTTTTGGTTCTTTTATTTTTGTAGGGTCATCCTTGGGATTTGCAGCCTTTTGTTTCTTGCTATTTTTTGTTCCTTTTTCATTTTCAAATGGACTTTGGTTCAGGTATATCCTTGGTAAGTACTTCACTCTGCGTTCCTGAAGTCTTTGTTTTTGAAGGAGCAATATTAGTTTGGGGTTTGTCTTTATGCATCCAAGTGATGTCTGTCTGGCAGTCAATGGATCTTACAGTTTTTCTTAATGATTTGTTTATACTGAAGAAGGGGGTAGGAGCAACCAATTTCCTTGCTTCAGGGTAACTGATCTTCTTGGTGCATCTAATCTTCTGTATTTCTTTTTCCCGGATCCACATTGGACATTGTTTTGATGCAGCTGAGTGGTCCCCTGAACAATTACAACATTTGGATGGTTTTTCACAGGGTTCCTTGTCATGTCTTTCTTCACCACAGTTACAACAGATGTGTTTATTATTGCAACTGTTCGAACCATGGCCATATTTCTGGCAATTAAAACATCTAAGAGTTTATAGGTGTCAAACTCTTCAAACTTTTCATGCAACATGCCATTGTCCTTCTCAAGTTTTAGTACCCTGTTATCAACAGCTTCAATTTTATCAACCACAGCATCCGTTCGCGAGCTTAAAGTATCTAGAGAGTCCGCGAGTATTTTGATGGAAGCGCTGTTGTCCTTGACGGCAGCCTCCACCGATGCTAGCCTCCTTATACTTTCCTCTTGTAGCTTCTCTATGCGCAACAGGGCAGCTAGCATAGCAGATGGCGCTTCAGGGGAATCGGTGCTGGGTTTCACCTTTTTTTTGGCGGGGCGTGAGTCCGGGTTTCAGGTGGAGATTTAGAATCAGTTTCCATATCCCCAAAGCATGGATCCAGAGATTTCCGGGCGTAACTGTGCAGGGTAGCGTGAATATCGTTCAGTTCCAGACACGTGCAAAGTTCAAAAACAGATTCCAAAGTTAATAATGTGGAGAGAAAGCAAGTCAAAGACTAACGTAGCTCTGCAGATAGAGTAAATTGCCTCAAAAAGAAGATATTAGATCTTCGTGTGCACAAATATTGTTTAAAAAGCATTTTTTCAAGCTTGCTATGACAGGTCTTACACGGACGCCATCTTGGTCGCCAACCGGTTTGACAGCTTATTTACATGCATTTTGCCTGCTCTCAGTACCTGTACCGTCTATGTACAACCCGCTGACATGGAACCACTTAGGGACCGTCTGCAAATTACCAGATCCAAAATATGTTTTACCCAGAATATACCTAATAACTTCATTCTAAATTGCTCTATTACAACCAAAATCAACTTGCATATTGTACTGCACGACTGAAATAAAAATGAAAAATTTATTAGAGCTTCATTTTTATTCTTGATTATTTGGATCAAAGCTCAATTGCTCCCATAAAAATCACTCTATTATCACCAAATTCAGGTCACACACAACTGTTCTAATGATTCAATTCAGTGCAGGTCATCAAATTAAACTCTGAATGAAGTTGAAAATAATTGTTTGTTGATTGATGTTTTACATTTTTGTAGTGGATAGAACACTTTGACTCCGTCATTTTAAAAGTAGCTCGCAAGCTGAAAAAGTGTGAGCACCCCTGCCCTAGACCAACAAGCCATGAAGGGTGGATTTTATTTTGTTTGCCATCTCGAAACAAAACTACAGATGCAACATGGGAGAAAATGTACGTTTTTAACCATATATTAAGATGTGATCGTCCGGGATTTGAACTCAGGATCTCTCACACCCGAAGCAAGCATTATACCCCTTGACCACTGAGCCATGAAGTTTGGATTTTGTTGAACAATGTCTGAACATTAGACATTGTTAACTTATAATGTTTATGATCATTCGTGTATTCGTGTATGCTGACATCCTTGAACTCTCAAAAAAGAACTCTGGCCGGCAGGGATGTCACTAGGGTTGACAGATAGGGGGGGCTTAGCCCCTGGAGGGCTTCTCGTACATTGCATGCGGTGAAAATAGAATAAAATTTACTTTATTAATCCCTTTGGGAGAACTTTTTGGGAACTAGTACTAATGACACTAAATTTCACTCGCGGTAATTGGGAATAGATACTAACATTATGTGTACTTCAGAGATTCGACAGAATATTAGACAGCTAATAAAAGATTTTTCACGATGTTAGCATTTTAGACGACGTTCGCTTTAGCTTCCAACATTAAGGTTGAAATAGACTAGGCTACAATATCGTTCTTCCTTCTCTTACCATAGGTAAATGTTCAGATTAAGCAACAATCGCTGCTATCAACGTGCAATCGCTGACCGTGTGTACACCGTGTGTTCACTGCTGTTTACTGCTGCTGCCTCCACACTGTTGTGTTGGTCCAGCTGCTTATGCGGCTGCCTACCACGTCATGCTTGACGCATGCTAATGAGGCATGATGGGAATCATAACGATAATAATTTTGAAAGCGAACTTCAGTTTAACTCGCTTTCTTGCTGGCTCGTGTTCGCTGCATGTATGCACTTATTTAAAATATATTTTAAATATCAAGATAATAATAATAATAAATAAAATGTTGCCCCAAATTATAGGGGGGGCTTTGGGATATTTTAGGGAGGCTGAAGCCCCCCTAAATTAGGGCTAACGACGTCACTGCTGCCCGGGCTCTCTCCAATGCTGCATTTTCTACAAAGCCCCTGCATCTATGGTTTGTCAGCAAAGCCTGTGCACTACGACTGAGCGCCACATACGATCCTCTGCCACATTTGCAGGCCACTTTTCCAAGTGCATTGAAAGACAGTTCCTAACTGCCAAACCATGAAACCTAATGTTTTTCCATCACTTTAGCCACTGACCCAGCAGGGATCTCCAGCTTGGCCAAACAAGCAGTTTGTAGCATCTTCAGGTACACCTCGTGTGCTCCCAGATGTCCCCTGTTCTTTTGACAGTATCCTCAAAGGGACTCTATTCGCAAACATATCGGTGCTTCAACTATGAAGTGCTTAAAGAATCATTTTAAGATTCTAGAACCTTCTCTTCTGCCCGTCTAGGGTGTTGTATTCCCCCTCACGATTGCTGACATTACCTGTTGTCCTCTAAAAAGCATAATCATAAAGATTAAAGTGCTTCATTGTATGTCGTTTTTGAGTAACAGCTGTTCTGTATTCTCCTCGTGTTTAGCTTCTTCTGTCTGATGATGAAATGTAGTAAAACCTTCGGTGGAAATCCGGCAGAGGGCGCCTGTCTCCTGTGAGCTGCTGCATCCCACCAAAACAAACACACGCCCTTGCATCAGGCATTGTAATCGAGTGCAGAGCCCGCGGACGGGGACGTGTCCCGCCTGCTGGAGCTGCTCGGAGGTAGATTTTTCTGGCCTGGAGAATCCGAACGGGTTATTTCTTCAGTTTCTGTGGGGAGAGCGTCCTCAGACATGATCGCTTCTTCGATTGTGGACGCACACGGAAGTATCCGAGGAGCTGGATGCGCTTCTGCTTCTAGTTTCGGGAGGACGATGAAGATGTGTAATGGTAAGACACCTCGCGCTCACGCCCATCCTCATCCTCATCCTCATCTGCTCTCCTATCGGTAATCGACACAGACGGGCGTTTTGAGCTCACAGCAGTGTTGTTATGGTGGCTTCGTGTTCCTTATGTTCTCCGGAGACAGCGGGAACCCTGTCAGACGCGGAAGCTCCTCCGGGTTAACATCTCGCCGTTTGATCCTGGAACAGTAGCATTGTGCTTAAAGTACCTCAGACCCAGTCCTCTGCCCCTCATCCAGAGACGGTTCCTGTGCATCCTCAATGCTTAAAAGCAGTCGATGACACGGTTTTCTCAAGAAATGCAGGGGAAACCACAAGGCTTGAGCAGGAACCGTGTTGCTGAGGGAAGCATCTCTGGATCTGGAGACCTGCCCCAGGACTTGCAGGCACCCCCTTGATGTGATTTAATCTTTAATTAGAAACTAGCCGTAAATCTGGAGGCGAGTGCTGCATTGGGTGCTCCCTGAACCCTTTACTGGGCTGTTTCTCATCCCCAGAGCTTTCTCGGTCTATGAGATGCGAGTTTACTCCACTATTGGTAGAAATGTGAGCTCACAGATGTTCTGCAGTAGCAGAAACACATCCATGGTAAGACAGGCGAGTAATGCAAGCCAGAGATCCGGGTGCTGCAACCGAGGATCCCTCACAGTTTGGTCCTTTAACTTGTCTCCACGTTCCTCACATTCTGCAGACAGTTCAAGCACATCTCAGTAGATGACAATCAAACAGATCCTACTGAGCGTTAGTCCAGTCCCCATCAGCTCAGCGTCTCTGTCTCTGTGCTGGCTCTCGTTTCTGTCTCTAAGATGCTCAGTGTCATCTAGAGACAACTACTGCAGAAAGCTCACCATCACATCTGAGAACTTGCTTATCGCTGAAAGTCACGTTGTAGAACAGGTTGTAGCACACGGTATTCTGAATTCTTTAGATGTTAAAGATTCATGTGACTTCTTCAGTGGTACTTTATCGGAAGACAGGATGCTGTGAAACGAGGTAAATTTGTTAGCAAAGGTGTTAGTAGGCCTCGGTAGCTCAGAACGAATGCTGGATCACGTGGAACACAGGAATCCAACACATCTGGCAGAAAAAGCTGATAATCAGTTTGTAGGGGTGATGCTGAGTGTTGTGTAACGAGCTCTTGTGTTTGCGTAAGATAAAGTTAATGAACAAAGTTTGGATCCAGTTCTTGAAAAGGTTGTGAAGGTTTAAAATCGTGAATGTGAAATGTTGGTGTGTCATCATTTATTAGGCAGCAATGCTCTCTGTAACAGCCATGCAACCCCCCCCACCCCAAACTTTCAACAATGTCCTGTTTCTCTTTGAACATCGTTGAAATTAGTGTGAGTTGCCAACCTTTGTCAACTTTCCTCTCTTCGGGACATTCATTTGCAAATTTCCTTCTTGTTGTGATTTGACGCTGTTCCACTCAGTTTGCAAGTTCAGCCCAATTCATACTTTTGCCTCAAGCTCATGGCTTAGATTCAGACCCTAGGCGTGGACTGTGATTGGTCGGTTTGGCAGCAGAGTGACTTCACACATCTGAGCCACCAGAAGCAAAACCAACATCTTCAAGAACCAAAACCCTGAGCGATTGATCGAGGAAGAGTAGGAATTTAACCATCTGTACAACAGTTCTCTCATTTATAAGATCTATGAGAGGAAAACACAGCACAAGTAATGAGAGGTTTACAAATAAGCCGGGATGGGATTTTGAGAATGTTTGTGCTGGATTAAAATTCTTCATCCGCTGGTAACTGAAAGGGTCCTAGTTAGTTCTACATGTTAAATAAGGGGTGTTAAACTCAGTTCCTGGAGGGCCACAGCCCTGCACAGTTTAGCTCCAACCTCAACTAATTACACCTGATGCAGCTCGTTAGGTCCTTCAGGCTGTCTGAAAGCTTCAGGTGTGGGTCTCTCTGAGCAGGGCTGGAAGTAAACTGCAGGAATGGATCCAGACACCTCTGTCAGTTAGAACAATCAAAAATGAGTAAAAGACATGGGCATCGCAAAGTCAATGGCTGTCACTCCGGAAACCATTCCCTTCATTCACCAAAAGGTTACGGGTAATATACCGGTAACTAAAAAAAAGTAGTACAAAATAGTATAATAATTTTTTTTTTAATTTGGGAATTTTAACATGTCTGTCAGTCTGTCTGCCTGCTTCTAGCTTCTGACTCTGGTTCTCTCTCTGTACTTATTTTGCTTGACCTCCAAGCTGCTTTTGACACAATTGATCACTCAATTTCACTTCTGGATGACTTGAAAATGAGTTTAGTGTCATGGATACAGAATCTTATTTTACAGAGCGTTCCCAGTTTGTTTGTTTGTTGAGATCTGTTCTCACTGGTGCCCCTCAGGGCTCTGTTCTGGGACCTCTTCTTTTAGCATCTACTTGTCTCCACTTGGGCTTCTTCTCAACTCACTCTGTCTGACTCTATACCTGGTAAAGACCTTGCTTTTAATACCATCTTGGACTTTGTTTCAGTTATTCAGACATGGATGAATAAGAACGTCTTTTGCTTGAACAGTGGCAAAGCTGAAGTCACGCTGATTGGTTTCCGATTTGGCATTTGAAAACTGGGGCCTTAAGTCTGTCTCTCAATGGTTCTCCATTAGAGTCTAAGAGCAAAACGAGGAACCTTGGTATGACATTCCATCCATGTCTCACTGTCAAGCAGTTTGTTCAAACCACCGTCAAGTCTTCATTTTACCACCTGCTAGACTACATTCTATTCTTAATTTCTCTACTGCAAAAAGATTAATCAACGTATTTGTCCTGTCGGGATTACTGTAATGTTCGCCTGGCTGGGGTTTCAAGATCTACTCTGGACCGGTTGCTGTATGTTCAGAATTCAGCTTCTCGTGTCTTAGCGTGAACACATCACACCTGTTCTTAAATCGCTGCACTGGCTCCGGCTCTGCTTCCGTGTGGATTTTAAAGTTTTAACCCTCACTCATAAAGCACTCCATGGTCTGGTCCCTGAACACTTGTGTTCTCTTTTAAGCACTTACACCCCAAGTCGCACACTCCGCTCCTCACAGTCTAAGTTTCTGTCTGTACCTCGCACTCGCACAACAACTATGGGAAACAGGGTTTTTTCTGTTTATGCACCGTAACCATGGAACTCTCTCCCAGCTGACCAAAAAAAAAACCTAATTTACTTCTTTAAACTAATTTTTTTATTCTGTATAGTTGAGTTTTTTTCTGTGTAGCTGAAGGTCCTTAGCTTTGTTTATCCTCTTATGATGGCCCCTGTTTGCCATGAATTGGA